TATAAAACTTTTACATCTTTCTCACCAACACCTATATATTTACTTAAAATACAAAACCTCTTAAAACAACCAAACCAATAATCAAAGCATAGTTCCTGGACTTCATCCCACTGTCAATCACTGATGCTGATTCATTTTATTCATTCTCAGATGTCTCTCTTCTTTATTCTTTTGAGCTTGTTTACCCTCTGATCTCAGGGTTTCTCCTTTTGTGAGCTTACGGTGAAGCTGACTGCATAATAAAATACATAAAAGAGTCGTGTAAACTTAAAAATAAAATACTCATGAAGGCTTTTTTAAATTTAAAAAACTTACTCTTGGGCAAGGAGTACATGCCTTAAATTCAATAGATGTAAACTGCTTCTTATACACACAGACTTTATATAGAAAAGTCAAAATCTATGTAAATACTTTAGGGTCCACATGTATCCAGAAAACTGTGACATTGATGTTGCTTTAATCCATTAAAAAACAGTCCCATGTGAATAGTTGGGCATGGTTAAGAGCAGGGGTGGGCAAAAGGGCCTCCGTGGGCCAGATTTGGCCCACCAAGTGCGTTGATCCAGCCCACAGAGGCTCTGCTGCTCCCCCACCTGCAGGCCAATCAGGGCCTAGGGGCCAGGAAGCGTGCAGTTGACTCTCAGCCCTGTGCTCCTGAAGGCAGGGAGCGAGAGATTTTGTGCTTTCACCCTCCCCCAGGCCAATCAGGGAGTGCCATGTACTCCTTGCAGGAGTGGGGCAGGGCGAAAGGAGACTTTGTGTGCTTCCCTCGCCCTCAGGCTCTGATTGGCCTGTGGACGGGGGAGCATGAGAAGTCTTCTCCTGCCCTGCCCTGCCCTGCCCTGCAAGAGGTGCAGCGTTTCAAAGCTCCGCGTGCTCCTTGCAGGATGAGGGCAGGGTGGGAGGAGACTTCATTTGCTCTCCCTCACCCCAAGCTCTGATTGGCCGGGGGCAGAGGGGAGCATGCTAAGTCTCCTCCCATTGTCAGGGGCAGGGAACCTAGAGGGAACCACCAGCTGTTCAGAACAGCTGGTGGTTCTCTCTTGGAGGGGCGGGAGCAAAAACTTCATGCATCCCTCCACCCCCAGATCAATCATGGTGTGTGGGCAGAGAAGCAGGAAGTGTCGGGATTTACCAGTAGATCTTGGAGCCTCTGACGTGATCCTGACTAGTCTGGCAAGAAAGCTTTCAAGTGTTGGCATTTCAGTTGCCCCTCCATCCGCTATCATACTGCTCCTGCCCTTTGCCTGACCCTCTGGGAACCTTCTGGTTGCTGTGCAGTTTGTGGGAGACAGAAGAGGGGTGGCCCTTATGTCAGGGTGTCATTCCCCCCCCCCCACATGTGCACCCTCTCTCCACGCAGAGAGAGGGAGATGGAGGGAGCTTGGCAATGCAAATCTGTGTGTGCCTGTCATTCTCACAAACACACATTGTCCTTCCTCTTATCTCCCAACCCAACACACACATGGGGGGTGGTTGTAACTTCTTTTACTGCTTGCAAAGTGGGTTATTTTTGGTTTTTGACTGGTCTGTGCATTTCGTAATTTTCACTTCTCTCTTCTGCTTAAATTTAATTCTTTGAGTAGCGAGTTCTAAAATGTCTAACCTATCATGGTTGGAGTCATTACCCCTGTGGTAATTGCTGCTCCTGGCAGTGGCTGGCATGTCCCTGCAGCCCCTGAGAAAGGCAGAGCAGGGGGGTCTCTATATGCTGTCCTTGCCTGCAGACACCACTTTTGCAGCTCCCATTGATCAATAATGGGGAACCATGGCCAGTAGATGAGGGACAGCACATGGTGCCATGGAACCATTGCTGCCCCTCATATCAGTTGCTTTCAGGAGTGGTGCAGGGCCAGGGCAGGAGTAAATCTGCCTTAACCCCATTGCTCCCCCACCCAGAAGCCATCTCAGTTAAATGGTGCTCAGCTAGAGCCTGCTTCCTGAACCCTTGTCCCAGCCCGGAACCCCCTCCTGCACCCAAACTCCTGCCCCAGATGCAAGTCCCCCTGTACCCAAACTCCTTCCCAGAGCTTGCATCCTGAAACCCCTCCTGGGTCCTAATCTCCTGCCTTGGGCTAAGCCCAGAGCCCCTCCTTCACTCCAAACTCCTTGGCCCGTGACCAGAGCCTGCCCCCCAGCCCTCTACCCCAGCCTGGTGAAAGTGAGGATGGGGAAGGAAGGGGGATGGAATGAGCAGGGTGAGGCCTCGGGGAAGGGATGGAGCAAGAGCAGGGCCTCAAAGAAAGGGTGGGAAGGAAGCAGGACAAGGGTATTTGAGTTTGAGGTAGAGCTCACATTGCACTTACATTGAAAAAGTGATCTTGTGGTTAAAAAGGTTGGAGACCACTTCCCTATTCTATCTCCACAGAACAGGGGTAGGGGACACAACAAGATTTGGGAAGGAGTTTGCTGGCTGCTTTTGAGAGTGGTGCAGGGCCAGGGCACGGTGAGCCTGCCTTAGCCCCCCTGCACCACCACCCAGGAGCCACCTATGGCTAGCAGTGTCCAGCTGGAGCCTTCATGCTCAATCCCTGTCACAGTCATGTACCCACTCCTGCACTCCAAACCCTACCCTAGCCCTGAGAACTCCTAGACCCAAACTACCTTACAGACTCTTACCCTGAACCCCCTCCTCCACCCCAATCCCTCTTCCGGGCTCAGCTCAGAGCCCCTCTTGGACTCCAAACCCCTTAACCCAAGACTAAAGCCTGCGCTCCAACCCTCTGCCCCTGTCTGATGAAAGGGAGGAAGGATGGTAGAGGGAGGAAGTATGGAGCGAGTGGGGGCAGGGCTTTGGAGAAGGGGCACAAAGGAGGCGGGGCAAAGGTATTTGGGTTTGAGGTTGATCCTGGCTTGCACTTAAATTCAAAGAGTTCTCATACTTGAGAAGGTTGGAGATCACAGCCATAAGGCATAAGAAGAGGTTCTTGCACCAAAATGCTTACAATCCAAATACATATTTAACCCTTCTGCCAGGTAGAGCTAACAGCAGCCAGGGTTCCTCTCCATCCATCCAACACACAACTGGTTTAAACTGCCACCCAGTAACCTAGAAAATTCACACAGCACCCCTGGGTGCCTCTGGGAGGCAATGCTTCCCCGCTTGCAAGCACAGAGTCTGTGTGTGGAAAAGGAACTTTAGGAGTAAAAGAAGAGGGAAGTAATATGCATTAATTTGGGAAAACACCACAGAGTTAATAAACATAAACCATGAGTAACAGTCTCACCCCGAATAGGTCGGGCAATGTCCTTTCACTCTCAAATCTAAGTCCAGCAATGTACATGTCCCCTTCTCTGCACCTCACTCATAGTCGCTGCCCATGGTCAGGGCAGACCCAGAATTCAGAGGTGCATCTGCAGAGTTCATCTCCCATCCTGAAGGTGGGGAGGGGAGGAGGAGGTAGAAGGCATCTTACTCAGTCTGTTGGTCACTTGCCATTCACCTGCTTGCTGCTCATTGGCACCGCTTTGCTGGCCAATCGTTGCCCCTTGCTGTCACTGTCCTCCTGGCCACTTCTTACACCTCTCTGCTGCCACTCTGCTGGCTGCTCCTCATGCTGCTGCTCGTTGCATCTTCCACTGGCTTATGATGGGTTTGACTCTGGGTCAAACCTAGTAATTTCAGCTCTCATCGCTTTCAGTTCTTGGCCCAAAGCACAGTCCAGCCACAAAAAAATTCCAGCATCCACTGGAGTACATTTATATACTAAAGAAAGTCCTTATGGAGCCTTTCTTTAGCTCTACATTGAAAATGTGGGGGGAAACAGGTTGAACCAGTCTTATAGTTTACCCCTGGTGGGCATGCAGCCTGCTGACTCACTCAGAGTCCTCCGTCCACATCTTAATCTCATAGGGCTCTGGAAGACGCGCCATTGTCCATCCAAGTGTATTTACACTGATAGGGTCTCTCCTTTTGAACTGAGTTAAACACAGTTTAACTTAGCTGTATTCCCACTATAACTGCAAGCATTGGTGATCATACCTCACAACTCCTGCGTTTAGTGTTAACTCAATTTGTGACCCCACAACAGCCAAATTGGTTACAATGGGCAAAACACCTCTGTAACAACTGGATATCTAGCAGGCCTAAGCAAGCCAAGTGAACTGTATTTACATGCACAGGCCCAGAATCTCATTCTTTAAACTGAGAGTTTGTGCCAGGTTAAGCACAGACTTTCTTTTTTTGTATTTTCCCAATAATTACAATCTTTACAATTAGTATTAACACAATTTGTGACCCACACCAGCCAAGTTGACTACAATGAGCAAAACACCATTGTAACAGCTGAATATCTAACACATCTAAGCGAAGTTGGGGCAAACTGTATTTCCATAAATGGAGCCAGGATTTCTTTCCCATTCCAGCTGGCTGTAATGGAAGCATTGATTCAGATGCTGCTCACATCTACTTATATACATCACTATTGTTTTGTATAACAGAACATGCTGTGTTATCAAAAAAATGGAAAACCAGAAAGTTATTCCTTGGCTCACACTGCACTCCAAGAGTAACCCAATATACAGTCTATCAAACATTCCCCATTATTACAATCAATCAGCTGACCCATTGACTTTACAGAGAATGCTCTTTCTATAAAAGTATGTATGCATATGTGGGCAGATAGATTAATATTCACAAACATACTTTTATTGTCCATATTTCTATCACGTTATCAGTCCTTAAATTCTTCTTTTCTTTCTTCTGCTGTTTTATTCTTTCTTTTCTTGATTCTGCTGCGATATTGTCTTGACAAGTTGTTCAGCTGTCATGGTTAAAGCTGTCATTTTAAAAAATAGTTAATGCTGGGTGGGGGTGGGGAGCAACCAACTCTGTGCTCCTTGAATGGGTGGAGCCATGGTCAACCAGTTCTCAGTGCTGCTTGGACTGTCTCTCCAGGGGTGATTAAAAGGGCCTGAGGATCTGGATTCTGCCTTGATAGCAGTGGTGGTGACTGAGAGCCCTACAACCTTTTGAATCAGAGTGCAGCTGCGACCTGGCATTCAGGCACACTCAGGCACACATACTTGGTAAATGTAAACATTTGAATGGCGACCCGCAGACAAGGTGTATATCTAAAGCCGGGTTTCCCAACCTATGGGTCAGCACCCAAGTATGGGTCACCATACATTTCAAAAGGGTTGCCAAGTGTCTCCCCAGGTGGCTCTGCCTCCCCTCCTTCCCCCGTTTTTTAATTGCCTTGGGTCACCAAATCTTCCTGAATTGTCAAAATGGGTCTCCATCTGGAAAAGGTTGGGAGCGCTGATCTAGAGGTATGCTAACTGAGCCTCTCACAGAATGGCAGAGGCCTCCTGGTCACTGGTGTTCTGGGTTGGGTTGCTGCTCAGCATGCTTTCTGGAGTGGTAGTCAGAGAGCTAGCCTGGTATTGGCTGCAGGGACCACAGAAGCATAGGCATGAGCAGTACTTCAGAAACAAACGATGAAGGTACTTCCTGAATTTTTCACCAGCAAAAGCATAGATAAATGGATTGAGACAACAGTGACTGAATGCTAGTGCTTCAGTTGCATGCATTGCATGGTCCATTGACGTGTTGCATTTGTCAACTAATTCATAGTTTTTTAAAGTGTCCAGAAAAATCAATACATTGTAGGGGGTCCAAAAGACGAAAAACACAATCACCACAACTAAAATTAGTTTTATGGCTTTTGTTTTTTTGTGGTTTTTACAGGCAAGCAATGTCCTGATGATCCCAAAATAGCAATAGCTTATGACAAAGGCTGGGATAAGGAATCCTAAAACATTCATTTCCGCCATGCAGAAAATGGGCCAGATTTTCTTAAGGTGATCAGGATACACAGAGGTGCATTGTTCCTCTGTCTTCTGGTTGAACACAAAATGTGGCACTGAGACTAAAAGGGCCACTGACCACACCCCAAGAGAGGTAACACAGCCATGGCTGACTGTTCTGGCTTTGAAAGAAAATACGGCCTGCACAATAGCCAGATATCTATCAATGCTTATGACAGTGATGAAAAACATGCCCCCAAAGAAACCCACATAATAAAGCGAGGAGATGATTTTGCATGCAATGTTCCCAAGTGTCCATCCACGAATCACATAGGAAGCCCAGAAAGGAAGAGAGATCACAAAAAGAAGGTCTGAGATAGCCAAGTTCAAAAGAAAAATGTCTGTGATGCTCTTCTGTCGGCCACCCTTCGTGATGGCAAAAACCACCAGGAGGTTCCCTAACAGGCCAAGAGCAGACACAAGAACGTAGAACACTGGCAGAAATGCTTTCCCAAATTCATGGATGTTCACTTTGTCACAAACGGCAGATTCTTCATCATAGGTAAATTCAGTCGTCACTTCCAGGAATGCTTTGGCCATGATGAGTGATTGCCTTGCAAAGATATAAAAAGGGGGAAAATAGTCATCAGATAGGTAAATCCTGCAACCTGCACCTTACGGTTAAGAAAGAGAGTCAAATTCTCTTACTGGAGACAGTCAATGAAGAGTCCCCTCCCACCCCGTGCGCGTGCGCACGCACGCACACACACACACACACAAATAATGCCTTTAATAGATCTGTTCATCAGCATAAAATGTAGGATACCTTGAGCACTGGTAAGCATAGTATTTAAGGGTCTCTACCCACAGTTCTATTTGTGGGGAATCATAAAAACCAGTGGTGCCCATGCTGTTTGCATAATGCGTGTGTTATTTTTTGTTTGACTACAAATAACCAATTTGTTATGTAGGAAACACACAGGAATTTTTTATTACAAGACGGTGACATAGAAATTGCACAGAAAATGTCCCATGAAAGTTCATGATGGAAGGGCGATTTGCAGGTGCTCAAACCAATCTCCAGCTCAGAGGAGCTAGCCCTTGAATCATGCTTCCACTTTCCTGTGACAAACAGAAATGAAAGACAGATTGCAAACTTGCTTGCATTATTGTCGTTTGTGTAGTAATGTTGCCCAGAGGTTGCAGTTTAGATTAGGCTCCATTATGTTAGGCAGTGCACAAACATTATAAAAGACACAAGTTTCAGATACTTCAGTAGAAGGCATAAGATGCACTATTGGCAATTAGGAACTAATCTGCCGTGACAGATTTCTGCCATGCCAGGAAGTTTATTGCTTATTTTGTAAAAACAAGGAGTCGTCTTGTGGTATCTTAGGGTATGTCTATACAGTATTGCTTTCCTTTTTTGAGAGAGGAATGTAAATGCAGCTGAGTGAAACTGCAAATGAGACATGGATTTTAATTTCTCGCACTTCATTTACATAATGGCATCTGGGCTCTTTTTCGAAATACCCTATTTTGAAAAAATACTCCTCTCTCTAGACAGGGTTATTTCAGAAAAAAACCCCTTCTTTTGAAATAACCCTTACTCCTTAAAAAATGAGGTTATCTGAGTGCTGCTGGCTGCAAAGCTAGACCAGGGAGTAGATGAGACAATCTTTGTAATGAGCAGAAATCACCCCAACCTGATCTTGCAGTGCTAATGTTGGCAGCATTCTCATTTAAATCAATGAGCTGACCTACAGAGTCAATCCAGTAGCTCCATCTGTATCGTTGTATTTCAATTCAGTTGCCTCTGTGCATTGATCATGGCATAAAAACATAAATGAGAAGAAAAAAAAATCTGATCCTCGCAAAGGTAAATGACATCCAATTAAATTAAAAACATTCTAGCTGGAAATGTGCTGTAAATCTTTAAAAGTGGGAGTAATTATAGGAACATGTTACTAAAGGGATATGATTAGGGTTATCAAGTGGCTAAAAATTAATTGCGATGTTAAACAATAATAAAAAGCCATTTATTGCAATATTTTTGGATGTTTTCTAGATTTTCAGAATGCAAAGTGTTCAGTGCTCATTTCATATTATAAGATAGAAGATTTAACCAGCTCAAGTCCTTAGCTCTGTTCATCTGAGGAAGTGGGTTTTGCCAACGAAAGTTCATGATACTATCTCTCTCTGGTTCTAACTCTTTGTTAGTTTCTGAGGTGTTACAGGACTACTCGTTTTTCAAATAAGTTTCATTTTTCTGCATTTAAATCATTGTTCTGTGGTGGGGCTGGGGAGGAGGGGTTCAGTATGCAGGCTGCCCTGGGGAGAGAGGACAACCCCAGCCCTCTCTCACTGCAGCAGCTTGGGGCCAGGTGAGAAGTGCCTCTTCATGGCTGCTGCAGCTCCAGTGGGCACAGCTGATGGAGGGGTATACATCTCCCGGCTGGGGAACAGAAAAACTCTCTGAAACATATAGTAGGCAGTTGTCCCTTTCTCTTGCCCTGCTCCCTGCTGGCCAATGGGGTTATAACTGTCCCAGTCTCCATCTCTATCCCCTTGCTGCTCTCTGTGGTCAATCTTCAGTATAACTGTCCCTCCTATCAGATCCTTCCATTGTCACTTATGAGACACAATAGAACTCCACTCACATCCCATTATCTTGGCACAACCAAACCCTGATCTTGCTTGAAGTTACAATAAGAGGAAGCTGCCTACCAAATGGGGAGGTCCTAGCTTTTACCGTGTAGGAGGAGGTTTTGAACAAATGGACTCAGACACACGTTTCTAAAATACATAGTAAGATATTTGTGTTGTAAAGAAACAAAAGTAGTATTTTTCAGTTAATCTAGTGTGAATACTATGGTGCAATCTCTTTATCATGAAACTTGAACCTACAAATGTAGAATAATTTACAAAAAATAACTGTGTTCAAAAATAAAACAATGTAAAACTTTAGAAAGTCCCCACAAGCCTAATTCTTGTACAGCCCGATCATTCCATGGCTCCTTGGGGCAGGGTACTTAAGCAGAATGACTGATTTCAGAATCAGTCCCCTACTATGCCAGCCCCATTTAGGTGAGTAAAGAGGACTGGAAAGAAGCTGCCCTAACTGGAGAATGAGAGCCAGCTGCCAGCCCAATTAGCCCAGGGCTATTTAAGAGTCTGAGAAGAAGAAAACTGTGGGAGGTAGAATGGAGGAGATGACTGCAGGCAGGGAGATCACCTGAGTCAGATGCCACAGCAGAAGGCTGATTTTCCATTTTGGTGATCTGGGTTTTCTAGGTTCCATATCATAGAGTTGCTCTGTTGAGATTTCTAAAAGCACTTTCCACACTTTATAGACTAACAGATCTATTGGAGCATTAGCTTTCGTGGGCAAAGACCCACTTTGTCAGATGCACGTAGTGGAAATTCCAGAGGCAGATATAAATGTACAGGCATAAGAATAGAATGCCAATCAAGAGTAAGTGAAGCAAAATGTAGGACAATGTAGCACTTTAAAGACTAACAAGATGGTTTATTAGATGATGAGCTTTCGTGGGCCAGACCCACTTCCTCAGATCAAATAGTGGAAGAAAGTAGTCACAACCATATATACCAAAGGATACAATTAAAAAAAAGAACAAATATGAAAAGGACAAATCACATTGCAGAACAGAAGGAGGAGGCGGGGGGGTGGGAAGGGGGAGGAAGGAAGGTAAGTGTCTGTGAATTGATGATATTAGAGGTAGGGAGAGTGGGATGTTTGTGAGTTAATGGTATTACAGGTGATAATTGGGGAAACTGTCTTGATAATGGGTGAGAAAGTTCAAAGACTTGTTAAGTCCCTGGTGGTAAGTGTCGAATTTTAACATGAATGACAGTTCAGAGGATTCCCTTTCAAGTGCAGATGTAAAAGGTCTTTGTAGCAGAATGCAGGTGGCTAAGTCATTTAGAGAGTGTCCTTTCTGGTTAAAGTGGCAAGAAACTGTTTTCTCTTTGTGATCTTGTCTGATATCTGTTTTGTGGGCATTAATCCTTTGGCGAAGTGTCTGAGATGTTTGTCCAATGTACATAGCAGACGGACACTTTCGGCACATGATAGCGTAGATTATATTTCTGGATGCGCAGGAATATGTGTTCTTGATCTTATAACTCACTTGGTTAGGTCCAATAATGGTATCAGCAGAATGAATATGTGGACAAAGCTGGCAACGGGGTTTGTTGCAAGGGAAGGTACCAGGGTTGGTATTAGTGTGGTATGTCCTGTGGTGGTTGGTAAGAATCATCTTGAGGTTAGGTGGTTGTCTATAGGAGACTATGGGTCTGTCTCCCAGAGCCTCTTTGAGTATGGTATCCTGTTCCAATATAGGCTGTAGTTTATTGATAATGTGTTGGACAGGTTTAAGTTGGGGGTTGTAGGTGATGACAAGTGGTGTTCTATTGTTGGTTTTCTTGGGTCTGTCTTGAAGTAGATGGTTTCTAGGTATTCGTCTGGCTCTTTCAATTTGCTTTTTTGTTTCTCTGGGTGGGTAGTTGAGATTTATAAATGCTTGGTAGAGATCCTGAAGCTTCTGGTCTCTGTCAGTGGGGTTAGAGCAGATGCGGTTGTATCGAAGGGCTTGGCTATAGACGATGGATCGTGTGGTGTGTTCTGGATGGGAGCTGGATGCATGTAGGTAACTGTATGAGTCAGTGGGTTTTCTGTAGAGAGTGGTGTCTAATTTTCCATTGTTGATTTGTACGGTGGTGTCCAGGAAGTGGATCTCTCGTGTAGAATGGTCCAGGCTGAGGTTGATGGTGGGGTGTAGGTTGTTGAAATCTCTGTGGAATATCTCCAGTGTTTCTTGGCCATGTGTCCAGATCATAAAGATGTCATCGATGTACCGTAGGTAGAGGAGGGGTGAAAGGGGACGGGAGTTGAGGAAACGTTGTTCTAGGTCAGCCATAAAGATGTTAGCATACTGTGGGGCCATGCGTGTACCCATGGCTGTGCCGCTGATCTGGAGGTATAAGTTGTTCTCAAACCGGAAATAATTGTGGGTGAGAACAAAGTTACATAGGTCTGCTATCAGGTTGGCAGTAGTGTCCTCTGGGATAGTGTTTCTAATTGCTTGTAATCCGTCTTCATGTGGGATGTTGGTATATAGAGCTTCTACATCCATGGTGGCAAGGATGGTATTATTGGGGAGGTTATCGATGTTTTGTAGTTTCCTTAGGAAGTCAGTAGTGTCTCGGAGATAGCTGGGGGTATTGGTTACGAAGGGTTTGAGAAGAGTGTCTACATAGCTGGATAGACCAGTAGTGAGCGTGCCAATACCAGAGATGATGGGACGTCCGGGGTGCCCAGGTTTATGGATCTTGGGAAGTAGATAGAACAATCCTGGTCGGGGGTCAGAAGGTGATTCTGTGAGGATTTGTTCCCGAGTAGCTGTGGGGAGGCTTTTAAGGAGACAGTGTAGTTTCTTTTGGTAGTCCAAGGTGGGATCAGAGGGGAGAGGTTTGTAAAATGTGGTGTTCGAGAGTTGTCTGGTTGCCTCCTGGTTATAGTCGGCCTTATTCATAATGACCACAGCACCCCCTTTGTCAGCTGGTTTGATTACAATGTCCAGGTTGTTTTTG